TAATATCTGGGTGCCACCACAGGCCAATTAAATGACAATTTCTGCTGTAGCATAACCATGCACAGCTATTTCCAAACAGCTGCGTGAATGGTTTAAATGGGAAGTTAAGGTTGAGAAACATTATGATAAAATCCACCAGCCATCATTTTCTGAATCCTAATGTAAAAAGTACTGGGGTCCTTTTTGGTTAAAGCATTGTTCCTACCACTTATTCACTTGTGAGTAGCAAGTGGGGTACCCGTAAAAGGATGACTGCTCTGGTAGCAAGAGCACAGATGATCCAAAAATCGTGCATATGCATTTGATTGCTTTATCAAATATTCTAAAATTTCATCTGGTTGAACTTTAGACAAATATATATATTCATATATAATATATTTACATATATATTAATTAATTTGCATTCACAGCAATTTAATAAACTCTCCCTAACTAAGCAGACAGATGCATGTTTTAAGGATGAAGGCTACTGACTGAAATAATCCCTCAAACATACAGTTAGACAATTGAGAGTCAACTCTAATTAAGATATAAAAAGTCTGAGCTCCATAGATTCCTCTTAGTGCCTTCAGACTAACTTGGCAGTTTCATAGTATATTAGTGAGTTTGGGCAGATTTTGAAGAAGGATTGGAAAAAGGCTTGAATGGCTTTCAGTTGTGGCCCCAGCCACAAATGAATAATCAAGTGAGATCTTTAAATGTCAGTAAATTTAGACAGTGTCCTTGATGGGTAAACAAGGAAAACTGAATCACCTATATTATTTCTTTGTATGATATTTATATAAAAGATTGCAAGCTGGAAGTTCTATTTTGTTTGGCCAACTGAGTATCTTAAATCTTTAAGCCAGTGGCACTCTTTGCATGAGAAGACTGTGGAATAAAGAACACAGAAGTCATTTGATTTTTTCTTTTAATTAATGGGATTTTAGGGGAAAATGTTGTCTTAATTCATGTTTCTCTAAGCACGGTGAACCACGTGATACCTCATGTTATGTCTCTTCTTCAAATAGCAAATGAGTATGTTAAAAACAAAGAAAAATTGATCACTGAGAAATATTTGGTGGTACTTTTATTGTCTTATAGACTTAAATGTTGCTTGTTTCTTCATTTTGCTTATATATCTTCTATAGAATAGAATCACTTATACCTCCTTTTACTTCCTTTATTATATGTAGGGTAATATTAGACATATTATGGTTATCAGACACATACAGAGGGAAATGTGCTGCTACTGGTAAATATACAAATTCATGTTTGTAATACACATGCAGAACATATACATGGCATATACATATATATATACACACACACATACATGGGGGTTGTAGAAGAATTGAAAGTAATTCTCAGTATGTTATGAATGTCACTGGTGCTGTGGATGCCAAGTAGAAAATCATCATCAGTTAAACAATGTAGCAATGTCTGAATACTCTAACTGACTCAGATGCTCTCACTTCACACATTGACTGCCAGATGGGCCACAAGTGCCCTGAACCAACATCTGGCAATGAATATTAAATAAAGAATGAAAACAAAAGTTAGTAAAGGCATTTTTTCTTCTCTTTGCTTTAGGCCTTGGTTCAAAGTAATTTCCTAGTGTCCTCTATTGCTTCTTATGATGTAGGATTTTGTTTTCTAGGGAATTACAGACTTTATAGAAGAGCATATTAAACAATTACTCTTATCATTGAAGGCTGTTCTTTGACAGGTACACTCAGAGACTTAAGAGAAACACTTTTCCCTAGAGGAAGTGTAAAATAAGGAGAAAGAATATGAGACATAATTCTGATGTGGTACAGTCTAGCCACACTGGAGAAAGGTGATGAATAATTCAGGAGGAAATAGAGTGCAAACTTGGAACCTTTAGTGAGCATACTATACTAGTAATCTTAGTAAAAGAGATAAGTAGACTTATGGAAGAATTTAGCTGGATCATTGAGTGTTGGCTTGACATTCAGTATTATTTTTATCTGAATAGTTGGCCTGGCTCCAAGGTAGCCCAAACACAAGCAAAGACTGGGGAATGGAGAAAGCAAGTGCACAAGATCAAACACAGTAACCCAGAGCAGTGCAAAGCACATATCTTCCTTTGTGTAATGATGGGGAAATCTTTGATTTCTGTCTCTGACATAGTCATGATGGTATTTAACTAGTGGCCTCTGACTTCCTTTGACAGGATCACACCCTGAACTACCAGAGTGCTCTTACGCTGACAGATAATAGAAAATAGAAAATATAATAACTACAGAACTGAACGGTAGAATTCAGCTCTGTTCTGTGGTGCTCTGGCATTCTGATTTCTAATCCCCGCTTATAATTCAAGGCTAGTGGAACTAGTATGGTCCTTTTGGTCTTAGCACTGAAATAGAAAGTAATGCCTACCTGGGAGTTGCAATTAATATTCTTTAATTTCTAGTAACTCTTCTTAGTGATTTGAAATATGTTTCATTTTCTTTATTAGTTCCTAGCCTGAACTGTCCCTGCTCTACCTGAACCAACCCATATCAACAATGCTTCCTTTCATGTTTCTCTTCAAACTTGATGCCCTGTATGAATTTTCATATACTTTCATTCTCTTAGCTTTTTTTTTTCCAATAGTGAGGCAGATTGTAATCATTTTGAGGTAGTCTAGGACTCAATGATTAGAAATCTGAAAGTCTAGAAGACTCCCGGGTTGCTCTCTTGAATCTTCATCTCTCTTAGCAACCCCCAAAAGTCATTTCAGACACTTTGCCTGTTCAAAAATTACTGTCACTCAAATTCATATTCTATCTATCATAAAATGGGAAATTTGGACAGTTATTCTCCCAGAACATTCTGTCATAAAATCATAAGCCAAAATGGTGTGCTTTTAATGCAGCTTTAAGGTGACCCAAGAAGACCTAAAACTTGCTGGTGACTGCTTTCTGTATGGGATAAGCTCTTGTAATTTGGAAGAGTGTCATACATGCAAATGTGAACATACAGACTGCCATCACAGGCTAAATTATAATGTGTATGTGAGGAAAAAAATAATAAATGTAGGGAAAAGGGGTAATTAAGAGTAAAATATCTGCCAAGTGCCAGTGGCTCACATCTGTAATCCTAGCTACTCAGCAGGCTGAGGTCTGAGGATCGTGATTCAAAGCCATCTCCGGCAGGAAAGTCCATGAGACTCCTATCGCCAATTAACCATCAAAAAACCAGAAGTGGCACGGTGGCTCAAGTGGTAGAGTGCTAGCCTTGAGCTGAAGCGTTCAGAGACAGTGTCTAGGGCCAGAGTTCAGCCAGACAACTGAGGGGAAAAAAAAACAAAAGTAAGAAACCTGGGGAGGGGTAGTGGGAGAAAATGAGAGAGGGAGTAACATTTTTCAAAAGGAAATGTACTCATTACTTACGTAACTGTAACCCCTCTGTATATCACCTTTACAATACAAAAGGAAAAGAAAAAGATAAATTAAGGTAAGCTCTTTATACCTTAGAGGAAGATGTGGATACAAAGTTACTGTACTGTTATATTGCTGTGTTTTTTGTCATTGTGCATGTTCTCTTCCTTCTGCAACTTTAAAACAGTTTTCTGACAGTTGTCCTATGAAAGCTCATTTTCAGGTTTGATGAATCTAATGATGCTATAAATAACAGTGATGTCACCTGGCATAACCACTTGAGTTTATTAAATTCACATTCATTGCAAATATTGAATACTTGCAATATAGTGAAATCTTTACTATTTTGTGGTGATAGGGAGGGGGGAGAGTTGAGTTATTACAACTAAATAGGGAAAGAAATATAGATTTAAAAAATTCTTTTAGGGCGGCTGGGAAGGTGGCTCAGTGGTAGAGTGCTTGCCTTGCATGCATGAGGCCCTGGGTTCTATTTCTCAGCACCACATAAGCAGAAAAATCCAGAAGTGATGCTGTGGCTCAAGTGGTAGAGTGCTAGCCTTGAGCTGAAGAGCTGAGGGACAGTGCCCAGGCCCAGAGTTCAGGCCCCAGGAAAAAAAGTTCTTTTAGTGATTAATGGAGTTAACTCAGAGATTACAGTTTTATTAATATAATTTCTTCATGACCTTTCCATTTCTTTGAACATTTTCTCTACTTATTTTATGAGATGTGAGTAAAACCAACCAATTCTTGTTTTGATTTTGGTTTATTGATAGATGGACTATATGGAGTGTACAGAATAAAAGTGAATTGAAAGGGGAATTTTCTATAGTGCTAAAAAGTATATTAAAATAGTTGGAAAATATATGTAAAACTGTAATTCTGTACAGTAAAAAGAAAGCACAAAGGTAATTTCCTCAGGTAGACCTTAGTTTGCATAGTTTATATATCTCAGTTATTGTAACTGGAATGGGACAACCAGTGTCTTCAAATTACACCTCAAATTCAGTTTACACTCCATTTTAAATGTGAACCAAATGTTCCTCAACATACACATCACTAATGAAATGAGAGCATTAATTAAATGAGTACTTAACTAAGTTCAAATGTCAATTCAAAGTCTGTGCTGACTAGTCACCACACAATTACTATTCTGTTCATGAACAAACAGCAAAGCATGTAGTGGTATCTTTATCTCTCATCTGTGATTCCATGTGACATTTTAAAATCAAAAGAAAGATGTGGCCAACAAAGATTAAAGCTGTTGTAAGGAGAGAAGTGGAAATTGTAGATAAGAAATTCAAAGTGATTGTTGGCCTTGTATCATTCAAGAACCTTTCTGTAATCAGTAAACCAAAACAGAATGAATGAAGGCAGGTTTGTAGGCAAAATGGCCGTGATGAAAAAGATGCATACACTTAAAAAAAAGTAACAACAGACAAACTTTCTAACTAAGAAAACTCTTGCAAATAGTTTGTTTACATCACCAAATTGGTAAAGGGTTAAATGTTGCTAGCTGAGTCAAACTTAGGAAGGGATACAATGATTTATGAAGACACAGAAACAACATTTGATTGCTACTACAATTACACAGGAGAGCTTCTAAAGAAGAAAACAACCATTTCTCCTGCCGCGGGAAAGGACGTTGGAGTGGAGGATTGTTGCTACCATGGCTTCTGGTACATTGGCAAAACCTCAGTTGCCGGGTCTTCTGGCCAAGCGTCTGCAGATTCATATTGTTGGAGCATTCATTGTCTCTTTGGGGGTCTCAGCTCTCTATAAGTTTGGTGTGGTTGAACCAAGAAAGAAGGCATATGCAGATTTCTACAGAAATTATGATTGCATGAAAGATTTTGAGGAGATGAGGAAGGCCGGTGTCTTTAAGAGTGCAAAGTGAATTTGGAATGTAAAGAATTTCTTTGGATTGACTTGTGTTCCTGAACTATGAAACATAAATATGTGGGCTGATAAGTAGTTTTTCTTATAAATAAATAAATACTGTGGACCGAAGTCTGTTCAGTTATTCATATTGATAATTCAGGGCATTAAAAAGCATCATACTTGGTTGGAAATTTTTAAGTTACTTATAAACATTGTAAAGATAAATTATCTCAGTATTTTTCTTAAAAAAAAAAAAGAAGAAAATAAGTGCTTTAGTTCTCACGGTCTTTGATATTGGAAGCTCTAATGTACTAACAGCATTTTTATATTTCATTACCTCTGAACTTATGGTTGTTGATAATAGGTTTTTTACTATTTTCACCAAAATCTCATAAAGTCACATATCAATTATACTTGATTCTGATGATTATGGAAGAATATTTTGCACAATATCAAATTACAGTCATTTTTAAAGTCCTAGCGTATAGAAAGTAACTTTGGCTAGATCTTATATTGTATTGTACACAGTTGTGCACAATTTATGCAGGGCTTATTATAAATTTGTCCTGGACTTTGACTCTTAATGAGGACCAACGGAAATAACATTAAAGAAACCTTTTTTTTTCCAATGTCAACATTTTTATTTTTTATTTTTTTAAATTTTATTTTATTGTAAAAATGCTGTACAAAGGGTTTCAGTTACATGACAATGAGTACATTACTCATCACTCATTGTTACTACTTCCCTTGTTGTTGTCCCCGCTCCTACACGTCTCCTCCTCCCCCTGCCGCCAAAGTTATAAAATTCCTTTCCAATATACTGTCATATGGGTATCATTGTTGCAATGGGTCATCCTGTGTCCTTGTTTCAGAGTTTTGTTATTCTCCTTCCCATCCACAGATTAGACAAATGAATATACAAGATGTAGGGTACCAAAATCAAGTTCAGTGATAATAGAGAATATATTACAGGGGGAATAACATACAAAGGAAATAAAAAAAAAATCCCCACATAGTACATTTAAAACAATAACAACAAAGACAGACCTCTTGTGTCCATATCTTGGGGATCATCTTATATAGCATCATCTTATATAGACAGATATACATAGCTTTTGACATTTTTTGTATTTTTTATTGTACAAATGCTGCAGAGAGGGGTTACAGTTACATGAACAAGGTAATGAATACCTTTTCTATTGAGCATTGTTGCCTCCTCCTTTGTTTTCCCCCTTACCATCCCTTCCCTCCCACCTCCGCAATTACCTTCCCTGACCCCAGCGAAGTTGTAAAGTTTGTTTTCAACATAGTGTTTTGTACGTCTCATTGTTACAATGGGTCCTGTATCCTTATTTAAGCATTTTGTTTTTTCCCTTCCCCTCTCCGAATTAGAGAAGTGTATATGCAAGATGCAGGGCACCAACATCATATACAGTGAAAACAGGTGTTATACCATGGGGGAGGAACATACAAAGCAACAACAAAATGATATGGTATGTTACAAGTATGTTAGAAACCATAGCAAGAAAGAAAAAAAGATATTTGTATCCCTATCTGGAGATTCATTTAGCTTAAAATCATCTTATATGGTCATATCTACATAGCTTTTGGCATTTTCTGCCTGTCTTACACATGTCCTAGTTATTGCAAATAAGGGAAACCATGGGACCTATGTTTCTTTGGGCCTGGCTTACTTCACTTAAAATAATTTTTTCCAAGTCTTTCCATTTCCTAACAAATAGGGCAATGTCATTCTTTCTGATGGAGACATAGAATTCCATTGTGTATATATATATCACATTTTCTTGACTCATTCTTCTACTGAGGGGCATCTGGGTTGGTAAATAATGGTAAATAATGCTGCAATACACATAGTTGGGCTGTTAGTCTTAGTATGACCTTGTTTGTGATCATTTGGGTAAATGCCCGAAAGAGGATTGCTGGTCATAGGGAAGCTCTATGTGGAGTCTTTTGAGGAACCTCCATCCTCTGATAAGATTATCCTATATGTATAATAATTATTGCAGATAAGGGAAACCATGGGACCTAAATTTCTTTGGGACTGGCTTACTTCACTTAATATGATTTTTTTCCAAATCTTTCCATCCATTTCCTAACAAATGGAGCAGTGTTGCTCATTCTGACTGAAGCATAGAATTCTATTGTACATAGCTATATATATATAATATATATATATATATATATATATATATACATACCAGACATTTTCTTGACCCATTCATTTACTGAATGGATTGGTTCCATATTAAGAATGAGAGAAACATAGTTGTGCTGGTAGCTTCAGCATGACCTTGTTGGTTTTCATTTGGGTAAATGTCCAAAAATGGGCAGCTCTATGTGTAGTATTTTAAGGAACCTCCATACTGCTTTCCAGAGTGGTTGAACAAATTTACACTTCCTCCAACAATTCAGTAGGGTTCCCTTTTGGCACATCCTCTCCAGTATCTGTTGTTATTGGATTTCTTGATTATATCCATTCTAACTGGGGTGAGATGGAATCTCAATGTTGCTTTGACTTGCATTTCTTTTATGGCCAGAGAAGTTGAGCACTTCTTCATGTGTCTATTGGCCACTATTATTTCTCCTTCAGATAAGTCTCTCTTTAAGTCTTTAGACCACTTGTTGATGGGGTGATTGTTTCTTTGAGGATTTGTTTTTGGAGGATTTAATTTTTTTGTATATATATGTGTATATATCTATATTTTATTTTGAAAATACTGTACAGATGGGTTACAATTACATGGGCAAGGTAATGGGTACATTTCTTATCAAGCATTGTTGCCTCCTCCTTTGTTTCCCCTTCCCATCCCTTCCCATCTTCCCCCTTCCCCCATCTCCCCCCTACTCCCAGCCAAAGCTGTAAAGTTCATTTTTCGACGTAACGACTTATACATCTCATTGCTGCAATGGGTCCACCTGTATCCCTATTTAAACAATTTGCTTTTTCCCTTCCCCTCCACAAATTATACCAACATCAAATACAGTGAAAACAGGGACTATACCATGGGGGATGGACATACAAACAACAAAGAAATCATCTTATAAATATGTTAGAAACAATCTCAAGAAAGATAAAAAAACATTTGAATCCTTATCTTCGGGTTCATTTTGCCTAACATCAACTTATCTGACCATTTGTGCTTGTCTCAGACATATACTAGTAATTGCAAATAAGGGAAACCAGGGTACCTATGTTTCTTTGGGCCTGGCTTACTTCACTTAATATAAATTTTTTCAAGTCTTTTCATTTCCTAACAGGATTTAATTTTTTGAGTTCCAAGTATATTTTAGATATGAGGCCCTTGTCCATTGTATAGCTAGTGGAGATCTTCTCCCAGTCCGTGGACATTCTATTGATCTTACTACCTATGTCCTTTGCCATGCAGAAGCTCTGCAGTTTCATGCAATCCCATTTGCCTAACCTTTCTTTGATTTGTTGAAAATTTTAGCCGGTGCCAAGGATCCCTAGGGTTTCTCCTATTCCTTCCTTTAATGTTTTCAGTGTGTCTGCTTTTACTTTGAGGACTTTGATTCATCTAGAGTTGATTCTGGTGCAGGGTGATATATAAGGATCTAACTTTAGTTTTTTACAGGTGTTCAACCAATTTTGCCAGTACCTTTTACTGAAGAGGCCATCTTTCTTCCATTTTATTTTATTTTATTTGGCTCCCTTATCAAAGATAAGGTGGCTATAAGTCTCCTGGGTCTTCAGTTCTATTCCATTGGTCTTTAGGTCTGTTCTTGTGTCAGTACCAAGCTGTTTTGATTACTAGGGCCTTGTATTAGAGTTTAAAGTATGGTATTGTTATTCCTCCAGCACTGTTCTTTCTGCTAAGGATTATTTTTGCTATTCAGGGTCTTTTATTTTTCCATATGAATTTTTGGATTGCTTCTTCTATTTCATTCAAGAATGAGGTTGTGATATTGGTGGGTATCACATTGAATATGTAGTCAGCCTTTGGCAGTATTGCCATTTTCACATTCTTAACCCTCCCTATCCACGAGCATGGGATATTTTTTCCACTTCCTTAGTTCTGCTTTAACTTTCTTTTTCAGATCTTAAAGTTTTCATCTTAGAGTTCCTTCACTGTTTTTTTAATTGTGAGAATACTGTACAGAGGAGTTACAATTACATGGGCAAGATAATGAGTAATTTTCTTATCAAGTATTGTTGCCTCCTCTTTGTTTCCCCTTCCCATACTCGTTCCCTACCCCCCCCACCTGATCCTCCCCCCACCCCCCACCAAAGTTGTAAATGAGATGTACAAGTTATGTCGAAAAACAAACTTTCCTTCACTTCTTTAATTAACTCCTCCATATTTTATTTTTTGTAGGGCTACTACAAAAGAGGTTGCTTTCCTGATTTCAGCCATTATTGCTATACAGGAAAGCCATTGATTTCTGAGGGTTAATTTTTTACTCTTCTACTTAATGAAATATTTGATCCCCTTGAGTATCTTGAGAATGGAATCCATGGGGTGATTTAAATACAAGATCATGTCATCTGCAAAGAGGAAGAGTTTTACTTCATCTTTCCCTATTTGGATCCTGTTTATATTTGCGTCTAGTCCCATTGCTCTAGCTAGGCATTCTAATACTAAATTGAAGAGAAGTGGAGAGAGTGGACATCCTTGTTTTATTCTTGAATTTAGAGGAAATGGCTTTAGCTTTTCACCATTAAGTATAATGCTGGCTGTAGGTTTGTCATCCATAGCCTTTATTATATTGAGGAATGTTCCTTGGATTCCTAGTTTTTCCAGAGCTTTCATCATAAAGGGTTTTTTCTGCATCTATTGAGATAATTGTGTGGTTCTCATCCTTGCTCTTGTTGATGTGGTCTATTACATTAATTTATTTGCATATATTGAACCAGCTTTGCATTCCTGGAATGAATCCTGTTTGATTATGGTGCATGATTTTTTGATGAGTTGTTGAAATTGATTGGCCAAAATTTTGTTGAGTTTTGCATCAATGTTCACCAAAGAAATGGGTCTATAGTTCCTTTTTGATGAATCCCTGTCTGGTTTTGGGATGAGGGTTATGATAGATGCGTAGAAGGAATTTTGTTGTGAACTTTCATTTTCAATTTCATTGAAGATTTGGAGTAGTATTGGTGTGAGTTCTGCTTTGAAGATCTTGTAGAATTCAATAGTGAACCTATCTGGTTGTAGGCTTTTCTTGGATGGGAGGTCACTCATTGCAGTTTC